CCCGAAAAAACAAACAAACAAATAAGTCCAACCTAGTATTGGTATCGATGAGCGTATAACTGTGATGGTTCCGCGGAAACATGTCTGGACTGCTTGGCGTAGTGGGCATTGCGGGCCGCGGCGTTGACGTTGGATGGAGCACGCCCGACCATATCGGGGTTAGGTCGCATGGGACTTCCATAAGCGGGCTGAAAACTTTGCAATGAACTGGCACTGCGCTGTAACTCTTCAACTCACCTTGATAAATGGTGGCGGTCCGACTCCTTCCCCACTGTAGGCAAACCAGGAGTTAAACATTCGGTAGTAGTCGGGATTGGGAACGGCTGTTCGGATTTGCTGCGGTGGACCCTCGGCACAGTAGTCGGTGGCATAGATCTGGTAGTTTGGTGCTCCCTCACTCCCGTGGAAGGATTTTGAACTAAAACATTTGCCTCACTCCAAACTTGGCCATTTGAAGTGGACGCAATCTGCCTTTGTTTAGCTAAACTGACCTGGGAAGAGCATAGTGGTAAGGTGGGGGTTGCGGATGTCCCCCATAGGAAACTCTGGTGTGATAGGTGGTGGTAATTCCTCCGATCGTTGGGACGCCACAATTTTTCGACGTTGGCGGCTCTGGGGCTGGGTAGCGGTGGAGGTGATACCTGTCGATGAGATCGTAGGATTCGTACTCGGGTACGCTGGACGACATTCCGGCCTGGAATAAAAGATATGCGGTAAGAAAGCAAAGTGCACAAAGGTGATAAGCGATGGATTTGACGTGGACAACTCTAGAATCTATCTTTTCATTGCAATTTGTAGCTGTCATATTTGTAGTTATAGAATACCAACTTGGATGCCTGACCTTTTCAAGCGAAAAATGAATGAATTTTTTGGAAAGCTAAACTTCCAAAAATCTTGATCTTCCCGTAAAAGCTAAACTTCCAAAAATCTTGATCTTCCTATATTCGACTAATCATTTGCAACCAGCTGATCCGATTTATCTTGTGCTATTCATATATTTCAATCAA